CGGTGAGCAAGCGACATGCACCGAGAGCCACCTTTAGATCTTTAACAGTGCTGATGGTCCTAACACCACGTACCACGGACGAATGTTTCGCCTGTGCATTAACTTTGGCAACTTCGGCCCGGAAACACACAAGGATGTATCGCCAAGGGCGTGCTGCCGCACAGCTGTTCTTCTCTATCTGTCAATAGCTGTAAATGTTCCCTTTGCGCTACTCTATTTCACACTGCACTGACCTGACCTTTATACCGTACGAACCCGATTCCGTTCCGAGTATCCAAGAAATATATGATATACTTTTTTCATGGTCGCTCGACATTTCATCCAAGCATTGGTGGTTTAGTGGCATAATTACCGCCTGCCACGCGGTAGACCCGAGTTCGATTCTCGGCCAATGCATTTTTGTGCTCGCCGATGTAAATCTTTCGTTTTACCTTTTCGTGAACCTTTGTCGAATTGCGGAATTGAAATGAAAATCGCATATATATAGCAAAGAGCGCACATGTTATTCGTATCATATCATACAGAAATCAGCGTATGCGGAATACTCAAATCTATGAACCTGTGTGTGAAATGCGCAGTGTGCTTGCAGATAATGTTTGCTTACTTCCAACACTCAATTCATGTTCCAACTGCTCCCTATCCATCACCACCTTATCCCAAAATTTTTATGCTCGCTCCAGTACCTTGGCCAGCGCCCCTTCCTGACCTATCAGCTCTCTCCAGCCCCACACAGAATTTGGAGTGGACTTCTGCGTTCGGCGCCAAGTTGTCTGTCGGGATAAATAGCTGCCACAGGTTGTCTTCCGGCACCAGTTTGCGGCCAGAACCCACTTCCCTGATTGGCTGAATGTCGTGATCGTCCTCGCGTTGACTCTCGCCGGCGGCTTTGAGGCTTTCCCGTGATGTCGACAGACTTTCACTCTTGTAGCCAGCCCTTAACGGACCGCCCGTGCTGGTTAGATCCAGCGGTAATACCCACACACCGACACGGGTAAACTCTCGTTCGGAAAGCGTGCATATTTGGCGTATGCGTGTTGTGAAAGACTCGTATGTGTCGTTGGGGTACAGGGGCAAAAAGAACGGAATAGAGTGACCCCGGGTTGGATCGCGCGTGAACGAGATCACTTGAAGCATTGCAAACGGTTGAGACTGCGGCGTAACAGGATACGGGAAGTAGTGAGAGACAAAAATTTCTTGGGTTGCTGGGATGATCGCCACCGAATCCGTTTCCAGAAGCACACGATCGAGCCGCGAGTGCGGAGTAAGGGTAAACACCGCCATATCGCGATGTATCGGTGACACAGGGAGAGGAGACGTCGCGGCATCAGACATGTCCACATCTCGGTGCTGAATCTTCACCCAAGAATCGCTTGCGTCCAACTCTTTGTCGCTGGTTTGCGGGCTCATCGGTGTAGGTCCCACGTCATCATCAACCTTGAGTTCCTCGTGCTGTATCTTGGCTTCAACGCGCTCAATAAATTCGGGAACCTTGGCGGTCCGGTCCACCCATACTTCTCCAATCCACTTGCATCTTCCACCTTTACCAACCCACCACGTTCGGATTCCACGCTTGCGTTCCATCTCTTTGAGATCAAGTTCAAGGACTTCGTACCAAATCGTTCCAGTGAGTTCCTCATTGGGGTATTGCGGGTACGTGCCAGGAGCAAAGGCCATCTCAAGCGTCCACGTGGGGGAATGACGAATCGGTTGCGCATTCTTACTGAGCGGAAGTGGTTGATTCAGCCCGCTTTGCGAAGTAGCGAATGAAAATAGTTTTATTTTTCCAGCGAGATTGGGGTGCCCTAACGCATGCGCCAGGCGGGTGGCGATGTCATCATAATGCATTTTACGCGATAGCTGCAGAGTGATGCCGTTGTCCCGATCTGAACCTTTCATTTTAAAAGTAATCAACACCTTGTTTCTCCAAGCCTCAAAGTATTTGGGAACATCTGGGTACTTCCATCGGTCCACTTCCTGTTGAAACCGCTGTTTATACGCTTGTATCTCCTCTTCACTTTTCCCTTCTGCTTGCATCTTCTCCATAACAAGCTTGCGTTCGCGCTTCCAGTCTTTTTGGAAAACCAAAATATCACCGTCCCCCAGTTCCACTCCCTCAAACGTGAGCTTCATATTCGGAATGGCATCAATCATCTCTGGTTTGACCTCCTCATACGCCACCAGAGGGGTGTCCACGGGAAGACCAACTCGATGACACACAAACTCGAAGGCATCGCAAACCTTTTGATGCTTTGGGTCCACAGAAACGTTCCCTGCGTAATTCATAGTCGACGTACTCGGATCGTAGTACTTGAAGAAGAGCGTGATGAGTTTCGAAGTCGGACTTTGTTTGATGTTGTTCAGCGAGCATGGCCGCGTTTCAACGTATACCCGTAAGTCGTTGCTGTAGCTACGGCCACTATATTTGTCTCGGACAAGTGCCATGACGGTGTCGCCGGCGATATCAAATGCTGGATCAGGTCGAAGTGTCTTGTTCTGCCGTTGAGTCAACCCCCATACCCGAAATCTGTCGTTATCCAGGCCCAAAAGCTTCTTCACGTGCTGCAAGAATTCTGACCATTTAGCATCTTTCCGTACTTTGGTGCTATGAACCGGCAAACTCAAGTCATTGAAATTCGTCAGGTCAAATCCACGGTGCAGCGAGATTGCCTCGTCTGTGAGGATCCTGACAGGAACGTATAGGTGTGCCTCTTCTTGTTCCTGCTTTTTCTGGTCATAGTACGCCTTCTCCTCGGCAAAACGTCGCTTCAAATGCTCCGGAATATCCTCATCAGTGACCTCAGCCAGAACAGTCGGACGATCGGCATCGCGAACGTACACCAACATGTAAGCGTTCGTATACCTTTTGCCCAAACGCCCAGTAGCACCACCAAAATTATCCTCAAAAACTTCGCTCTTCGATGCAGGTGTGACTTTGTCATCATCAAATTTGAACCACCGGTCCTCTAGCTTTGGACGCAGGAAGGCTTGATAATGTCCACCGTGAAGATCTCCACTGTGCACCAAAACACCATGTAGATGGTACTTTTGCTTTACAGCTGGTTTCGGCCCTTGTTCTGGTGTATTTGACTCCAAAAATTCATCCAGCTCAATTTCCAATGGGTACTCATGACGATCGTTGATCTTAACCATTGCATCCCGCATGAAATCGTATTCAAAACGCTTGAGCTGTAGATGGAGTATGGGTGGGAATTCAGTAAAAATAACTCCTTTTTTGGCATCCTGGAGGCCATAGCCTTCGGCCATGTATTTATTGTCACCGTCAAGAGTTTCAACGGCAATGTAATCGGCGAAAGAGGCGCGCAAATCGGTACATCCTTTTACATTCAGCTGAATATCTGGTCAAAGCCGTAATACTTAGCCATTATGCGCCAAAACAACGAAAACGACGTATCTACACACCGTAAAAATCCTCTGTCCTGGAACTCTCGTACGGGACGTCGATGCATCGAATATAGCTTTTCATCTTCCCCACAAATAGCTTCGATATTGCGCCTTCCGCTTTCGTTCCCTTCATCTTACTCTCCAAATTATCCTGTAAAACGCGGTTGAACTCCTGCACGTCATGTTGCATGAACGAGTCCAGCGTATCCCATCCAAAACTCTTCGTAAGTTCTGTAGTACCGACCGCGTCGTCGGAATTTTGCAGATTGAAAAAGACACGCTGGAGTGCAAGCGGAACGGACTTTGTCGGTTCGTCGTTGTCAGTAGGAATAGCGTAGGCGGCCTTCCGGAAGTAAGTAGTAAAGTAGAGTGACTGAAGGAGGGAATTCATGTAGCACGTGGCACCTTGATTCTTCAAGCCTACGTATCCAGTTTCTGCCTTGGAGTCCCAATGACGAAAATCATGCCAAAGATAGCCCGTCTCATCATGGATTATCCGCATCCAAACCACGAGTTCAAAGCCAAGTTCTCTATCAGACAACGCGGGCGAACGGGGGTCTCCTTTCAGCTTTGCGGCGCTGACGCCTTGTCCAAATCCCCAGTCGGTAGCCTCCCGTGTGTAACGATGTTGCGCATCTGCATTCAATGCATTTATATGATGATATTCGCAAATCGCAAAGAGCCTCTGACTTACGTTGTATAATGTTGACAGAGTTATCCCTTGGATTCACTACACCCATCGCGAATAGCACACAACATGACCATTTCGAACCTTCTGGTTGCTGGTGCGCATCTTTGGATTCCAAAAAATACGAGATATGGTCGCCGCTTCCGCGGTTGCCCCACGGAAAATACAGAATGGACCACTTAAAGCCCCCACACTCCCATTCTGGTGAGTTCTGCTTGCTCCCCAATTGCTCTCTGGTCGTGGCAGATTTCCAGTCGGGTACCCTCCACTTAAAGATACAACTGGCCGTCTCATCCATACCCGTCAACGGCAAGACAGTGTCAAGGTCATGCTTCGGTCCTACAGTAGAGGTTAGCCATGGTTACCCAGTCGAAAAGAGACCACCAAGGCGCCGTAAATTCACCTTCTCTGGGATTACTCGCAGCATCCACATCCATGGCTTCAGTCTGCGCACTCAGCGGCACAGGGTTGATCGATTCATTTGGCGGCGTAAGAGACCCCGTCAGCTTGATATCCTTTTGTACATTATGATTGTTCACACCCAGCATAGAGGTAGTGTCATCTTGGCGACCATCATCAATGATTTCGTCGTAAGAAGGCAAAAGGTTTCCGCTCATTGCTGGCCACAAAACATTCCCTGCTTGCGTTTCGTTTTCCGCTTTCCTACTGCCCGTCCAAACTTCTAATGCTGCGGCCTGACTGCTTTTCGTTGATGCTGCACGCGGTAGTCGTAGTGAAAGCAGAGAGCTGTTGAGTATGCCTGCAGATGTGCTTGGTGTTGTTGGATGCAAGCGCCTTGTTGAATGTCATTGCCAGTTGCCGGTTGGGAGTCACGTGGACGATAGGTTTGTCACAGTCACGCACGCGTGTTGTTGGATTATTAATTACATAAAAGCACGTTCTTCATCAAGTTCCTGTAGTTTAGTGGTATAATGTCTGCTTTACACGCAGAAGGTCCTCAGTTCGATCCTGAGCGGGAACACTTTTGCTACATTTGCATTTTTGCTCTTCGAACTTAGTCGCGTCCGTGTTCTTGCCTCAGATGCTCAAGTGAAGAATAATCCATCAAAGCTGCAGTCAGTCAACAGTATCTTATACTAGTAACTAGATCGTATGTACATTATACGGCATCGTTCTCTTTCTATCGCCGTTATTCAAGCGAGTATCAGCAACAGATTCACCGAGTGTCTGTGGTGTGAGTCTTAAGAAGAAGCTGCCACTTCTAGGCCACAATTAGCTCAATAAGATAACCCAAAAAGAAATTCAGATGGTCCTCTTTCATAATTGTCATTCGCGGGTTCACAAGGAATCGCAAAAGTTCCCGACCAGCCATCTCCAATGAAGAGTTGTGCAAAATTGATGGCATGGGAACGGGTACATTCGGTTGACACGCGACACCACGCCTAACCCTTTCTTTCGCTATCGTTCACAGTGGCCATGGTTGTTCCTATAGAAAGCCGTCCCTTGTCGTCTACTTCTAGCCGTTCATTTTCCCATGCTCGGTGAATGATAGAATCGACAGATGTCACGTTGGTCGTGTCTGCGGAGATGGACGACGTGGCCTGGTCTGGCAAAGTGGTGGGTATCGATGAGTCATGGCTATCACTAGAACCCATAGACACTTCTATAGTCGGCGGCGTTGCTTGTCGTGGAATGGTTACCGCTTCATCAGGTGTCGGAATAGGTGGAGGTTCGACGGATGCAATTGGTGTTACGGACTCATTTGTCACCCTCATGGATTCCAATGCCCCCGCGCCCTTAGTCGCCAAGCCTTCTACTTCGAAGGGAACCCTTGACCTGCTTTCCGGCGCATATGCGGGTTTCGCGGGAACCACGTTCTCGCCGGTCAATGGTACAGGGCTAAAATCTATTCCTGTAACCGCCCCCCTTACTCGTTCTCCAGGTTCGTGCAATTGTATCCGTACTTCTTTGACCGGGCCATCACTAGCGCCGCTAACATCGTCCCCGCTGCTCGCACTCGATCCATCCGTGTCCAATTCGATTTTCCGCTTTAAGCTCATGACCCTCTCTATTTCCGCACGCAAATCGCCTGCTCGCACCGGCTTGCTGATGTGCCCGTCCATTCCCGCCTTCAAGCAAATCTCCTTATCCGACGTCAGTGCGTTTGCAGTAAGCGCAAGGATAATCGGCTGCTCAGGGAGAAGGGATGATGGTAGCGATCGAATTTCGGCTGTTGCTTCTATCCCGGACATGAGCGGCATCTGAATGTCCATCAAAATCAAGTCAAAAGGTTTGCACGCATTCGTTGCCACGGTACCAGAAGGTGCGTGAGCACCTTGTGAATTGCTGGCATCGAAAGTCCCACTCACTGCCTTGGCATGATTTACTACGGCGTCCACTGCTTCTCGACCATTATTGGCAAGGCTCGGAGTATAGCCGAGCTGTGTCAGAAGGCGCAAAGCCAATTTCTGATTTATCTGAGTGAAGAATTAGTCAATGATCGTGATAAATGGTACTCATACCGACGTACCGCATTGTCCTCTGCCACAAGTATAGTAAGGGGAATTTTGTCCGCCAAAACCTCCTTTTCCTTCGTTTTGGGCACCAACCGTTGGTCCGAGTGACCCTTATGGTTACCAAGTCTGTTTGCAACTCTACCCACTTTCGAAGGCGACTTCGACAACCGGTATTCCCCGCTCCCGGCATTCCTGCTTCTAAGCTTTCCATTCACATGCTGTTCATCGTCAGACGCACCATTAACATTCTTCGAATCGCCACCATTGGGAGGGTCACACCCATCCACATCATAACAGAAGCTGAATGTGCTCCCTCTCCCTTCTTCACTGCATACCCACATACGTCCGCCCTTGGGATCCATCATGCCCACAAGTTGTTTACAGATAGCTAAACCCAGCCCCGTCCCACCAAACCTGCGGCTAGTCGAAGCATCTACTTGCGAAAACGACTTAAAGAGCCGGTCAATCTTGTCAGCAGGAATACCAATGCCGGTATCAATAATGTCGAACTGGAGACGGTAACGAGATGACCCGGGTTTCATGGTGGAAACCGATACCAGCGCCGTTGACGGATCTGCAAACTTCTCCGTTGAGGTCGGGGTTTCTGGCCTAGGTAATGCATTCGACGCTGTCTCACTCGCAAGAGGAAGAAGCGCAGCCGATACATGTACCGTTACCGATCCCTGAGAAGTAAATTTGATAGCATTGCCAATCAAATTATTCAAGATTTGCCTCGTGCGGAACACGTCTCCCACAATCCACTCTGGCGTATCCGGTTCAATCTCAATTCTCATCTCAATCGCCTTCTCCTCCGCTTTCAGCTGGAGTGGATATATGGTACTGCGGATGCAGTTCTCCAGGTTGAACGGATTATACTCAAGACTCATTTTTCCGGCCTCTATCTTAGAGAAGTCGAGCACGTCATTCACGACCATTAACAGGCCATCGGAGCACTCTTGGATAGAGGAAAGGAGATCTTTCTGATCCGGGCTCAACGGAGTTTCAGCCAGCACTGACGAAAGGCCGATGATCCCATTCAATGGTGTGCGAATTTCGTGGGATATGTTGGCAAGAAACTCGGTTTTAGCCTGAGCAGCCTGGTAAGACTGTTGTAACGCTAGATCAAGTTGTCGGTTCTTCTCCTCTAGGGCGATTTCCGCTCGTTTACGGTCGGTAATGTCTGTATGTGCACCGACCATCTTGACTGGATTGCCTTTCTCGTCTCGTACTGTAATCTTCCCCCGATTGAAAATCCATCGCCATTCGCCACCTTTGGTTCGGATCTGCTTCTCAATCTCGTAGAAGGCAGACTTCCCGGACAGGTGTGCTGCCCGTAATGCCTGCGCTCGTGATATGTAGGCAGGATGCACCATGTTATCCCAGGTTGCCAAATCGCCTTCCAACTCGGTCGGATGATATCCCAACATCGTTGCCAGACGCCCAGAGAAGTGCATTGTGCCAGTCGGGATATCCATTTCCCATATACCTAAAAGATGCATTACGTTTAGATGAATGTTATCGGGAAGGACCCACGGGCAGTAAAAGGTCGTGAAAGTTCTTGCTTCGACAACAGCGCTCTCTAGACCGAAACTCACCATCACTTGTCGCTTCCAAAAACTGCTTCAACCTCCCTTCACTAGCTTGCAGTGCTTTCAACGTTTGCCAGTCCTCGGTGACATCTTGCATCATCACAAAAAATCTCGCCGCACCGCCTTTGCCGTCTTTCCCAACACTCCGTCCGAGGTATTTGCAAGTGTAAGCCATTCGTCGTGTATTAGCGGGAATGAAATACGGACTGGAGGGTTCCGATGATGGCGTTCCTGCTGGGGCACTATCTTCACCCAAAAGAACTACAGAAAGGCTCATTTTGAATTCGTGGAAACCCCGCTTCGTTTGCGCATTCAGAACAGCACGCGCGAACCGATCAGTTCGATAGGGGTCCCGACGCATGTCGCGAACAAACCATGTATTTTCCTCCAAAGGGGGATACGGCAGGTTGCGCCTCGTGACGAAGGGCTTACTGATGGCAGTGAACCTAACGTCATGCAGTCGATATGGATCTCCTGTCTTTGCATCTGCCAGCCTATCTGCGGCGAGGGCAATATCTCCTTCGACGCCGTCATCTTCAAGTTCATCATCCACCGGATTGGGACCAAATAGTCTAAATCGCCGTTCATTTTCGTCCAGTTCCTTTCTCAAAACCGGCGATCTGATGTTGGGATCCACGACCTTTAGCCCACGTCCTTCTTCCACACTAAGATACGCGTCGGAACCCAGCAATATATACTCTTCAATATCGCAGACACCGAGCCATATTGGCGAATCCTTGAAAAGTGCTTCAAACGCCCTCGCAGCCGCAATCTGCGTTGAAATTCGAGACTGCAGTTCAGATTGAATTCTCAGGAGCCGGCTAGTACGGCGATACAGGAGATAGCCTAAAAGGGCAGTAAACCCCACGCGCATACCAGTGACACTTTTGGTGCCTGATATCGCAAGTGGTGACCGCGGTGTGAACATGGACAATGTCGGCAAATATCGACCAAGCTGGGCGATGGACTTGAGTATGATATTAGAGAACGTCCCTGGTATTACCGTAGCAATAGCAGCGCCCAGAAAAGCGGCCGTAGGAACGCTCAGCAAGCCTAAAATCCCACCTAGGTGCGATGTGAAAGCTCGCAGTCCTGATGGGGAAGGGCTTTCTTCAGGCTGTGTTGTCCTCATAACTTCCTTCAGCAGCTGGCTGGCTGCTTGACCGGGCGAGATCTCGGCGCTTGCTTGAGCAGCAGCGGATGCTAGCGCCGACTCGGAGTACGGATTAGGAATATCCTTGAAGTCCGGTACTCCTGCAGGCGCAAAACTACGGCGGGACGTGACAGAGGAGTAGGCAGTTGTGTGCGGGGGTGTCATGCTGGCGCCGGCGTCAGGTGACAATGAGCGATACGGGGATGTACCCGGTGAGCCCGTGGCCGACGAGCGTGAAGCTCCGCCATGTGGAGTTAGAGAAGGGGTTATAGAACCAGTGTGATGCTGCATTACGTATGGTTGTGCAGGGGATGTTGGGGCGCCAGTAGGAGAAAGATGTACATGGTCCCCGGTTCGTGGCACACGGTTGGCTTCACCGGGTGAGAGTTCTACCAAAGGTAGGCCTAGAGGGTCGCGTCCGATGGGAAAGCCACTTTCTGAAGCAGAAGGCTCAACAGGCGGACTACTATCGGGCGTTGCTTCTGACACTTCTAAGCGGATATCGTATTTCTGGGAAGGCCCATCCTTCGCGAGCCTATCTATCATGGAAGACATATGGTCGGCAGGCGCATCCGGCGGCGGAGTCGTTAATGTCATTCTTATCAGCCTTTACGCTATCCAGGTCCGCGGTAAAGTTCCCAAAAACCAACAGAAACGGTGGTCCAGCACAATGATTTCTCAACATGAATAAGTCCAATGTCTAATAAAGTTCAGGCATGTGGGTTACTCGGAGCGTCAATTGCCCATTCACTTTGGGAAATCC